ACAGGTGCCCACCACAATGCTTGGCTATTTTTTGGTGCAGCTGTCATTGTTATTTGGCGGGCTGGGCTGGATTCAAACCCGCCACATTAGGTGTATGTGGCTGGCACCTTAGCCACTTGAGCCACAGGCGCCAAGCCAAATATTTTTGAAAATATAAATTTATAATAATGTGTACTTTTACCAAAGGGATTAACCCCATGTATGCTCAAACTTTTGAATCCAACTGCAAATTTACAGAAATAGAGAACAGAGGAGCATGTTGAAATACACCCTTAGTGTACTGTGTGCAAAATCCAGACCACGGGGAACCCTGTAAGTCAAACAACTGAATTCTTTAATAGATAACATTGTAGGAAAAAAAGATGGGGGAACCCTATAGATTAAAGAAGACTTAAAAGACATAAAATTAAAGACCAAAACTAATCTGTAATGCCTAGGGATACACTTAAATTAAGGTGACCAGATTTTAACACTGGTAATGCGGGACATCATTGGGGGGTGCAGGGCCTGGGGAGTGGGGCCTGACAACAATGCAAACTTTGATAAGCAGTTCTTGATAATCAGTTCTCAACAATTATTTGTTATTATTAAAGTTTAATATTATAAAATTAACAAAAATAATACAAAACGCATATCCTGGCGAAATAGCCACATGGCAGCCGAAAACTGTATATTTCCTTCCTGTTCTCCCATGTTCCCTAGCTTGTCATGCATTCTTTCCAAAAATCGGGGCTTTTTTAAAAACGCCGCAGGACGCAGACAAATTGTTAAAAATTGGGACTGTCCTGCCAAAGCCGGACGTCTGGTGGGTGACCTTACTTGGGGGGAGGGCTACTTGTTGGTTCTAGACAGTTTGGCTCCTTCTGAGCTAAACGTTCTTAGCTAGAAGCAAGGGAGGGAGCCAGTCTCCTTCTGATACCCTGCCCAGGAGGGGAGTAGGGAGTTTACATTAGCCTTTTCATTTCCAAGTGAAGTTACATTAACCTCTTCATTCCCAAATGGAGTTACATTAACCTTTTCAGCAGCCAAACCGTATATTCCCTTTCCATTCTCCCACTGTTCCCTCACTTGTCATGCATTCTTTCCAAAAATCGGGACTTTTTTAAAAACACCACGGGATGCGGGACAAATTGTTAAAAATTGGGACTGTCCCGGCAAAAGCGGGATGTCTGGTCACCTTAAATGCAAAAAAAGTGAGTACTATAAAAGGAGATGATTACTTTGAGAGGAGGGAAGGACTTGGGATTGGGATGGAGCAAATGGATGGGCTTCTGGTATGGCTGACAAAGTTGTATTCCTTGATCTGAGAAGTGATTACAAGGATATTCAGTTTATAATAAACCACTAAACTGTTAGAGAAGCTAACAAAAATAAAGAGTTTCCCGCTCACTACCCTCATTCTAAATTCCAAAGAATATAATTCTGTAGGAAGAAAATGGAACTTAGAACCTTGGAATCTGAGATGCAAAAAAAAAAAAAAAAAGAAAAGAAAGAAAGAAAAGAAAAGAAAAAGAAAAAAGACTTTAGGAAAACTAGATCCTGAAAGGAATCTAACCTGAAGAAAAATAGTTTAGGTGCATACACGGGCATTTTGAATTATATGCAAAGCAAGAAGCCACTTTCAGTTTCTTGTTCAACCTCCAGAGGCTACAGAAAATGTCAGAGGACCCATTAAAATGTGATTGTGCAATTTACGTTTAAAATAAAATTCAGATTTACACACAACTACACAAAGAAAAATAGTCTAGAAAAGTATAATAAATTGACAACACATGTTTATCTCCCTTCTAAGACTCTCACTGAAATGAAACAGGAATAAAATTACAAAGCTGCAAGGTGGCTGTATTTGTGCAAAATACAAGGTCCTAGGGAGGAAGGACTTGGAACTTGGAGGTAGAAGATATCTTGGAAAGCAGAAATGAGGTGCAGTACTTACATGAAGCAGATTGAATGAAAGTCTGTATGCTGAACAATGGCTCCTCATTCCCCAGTTTTTCCCCAGCCCTGATCTTGTAACACCTCATAAGCAGATACTGGAATATTCTCGTTTTGAGAAACTTGATGGCTTCAGGTTGTCATTATTAGCTGTATTTTATTTTGTTAGGTTAGAAAAAACACCAGAAGCAGTTGAGGGACAAGGAAGTGGGTCCTCTAGGGATGAGGGGGCATTCTGAGTAAACTGTGTGTCCTGTCCCTGTGGTTTGACCGCAGTCTGTCAAAGCAAGAAGCCACTTTCAGTTTCTTGAAATGAGGTCAGGTGTGGAATTTTCTACTTGTGGTATCAATCAGGGATCACAAAGTTTTGGATTTTGGATCATTTCTGATTTCAACAACAGAGTACTATTGGGTGTTGCTCTTGAAAACATTCCTTGTCATTGATTACAAACCAGGGCCTGGGTCATAGGCCAGTAATGTTAATACTTTTCCACTAGAGAAGGAGAGATTTGCTACCTGGGCATTTTGCTTAGCAGCTCCTAATCTCATTATCCAATCTCATTATCTCCAAGTCTGGCTGCCGTCATTTCAGGAATGGTATATACCCATGGTTCTTAATTTTGACTGGACACTAGAATTTTCGAGGAGTCCTTAAAGAATGACCCTCCCCTAAAGATTCTGATTTAGCTGGTCTTGGTTAGGGTTCAGCCATCTATATTTTAAAAATACTCTCCAAGCAATTCTACTGTGCAACCAAAATTGAGAGTTACTGACATACATTGAGTCTTCAGATAACTCTAGTTCTAACTGGAGTGTTATTCTTTCTGAATTCCTCAAGTGAGCGTGTAGGGTTTCTCCACCCACTTTGTTAGGTAGGCAAAAAGGGACCTCTGAGATTCTCCTGGGGATGAAAGTGGGTGCCTTGCCTTTGTCCTGCCTTGAGCACTTGCCCCACCTGGGAAGAACAAGTACAGGCACTCCCCTTGGCCCTGCCTCACCCTTGATCCTACCAGTAGCACCTGTTACACCTGAACCAAGGAGAAACAGCCTGTAGGCCTGGCTGCCCAGGAACAATAGGATTTGGAAGGTGACCTAGTGTAATCTAACAATAATAATCATGTCCTTAACTGTCTATCATAGTGGTTCCATGGTGACCTCTGAACCACAAGGAGGGCCCAGTCTATTTATTTATTTATTTAATTGAGACAGAGTCTCACTTTGTCACTCTCAGCAGAGTGCCCTGGTGTCATAGGTCACAGCAACCTCAAACTCTTGAGCTCAAGTGATTCTCTTGCCTCCATCTCCCTAGTAGCTGGGACTACTGGGGCCCACCACAACACCTATTTTGTTTGTTTGTTTGTTTGTTAAGCAGGCTGGGGCTGGGTTCGAACCCACCAGCCCTGGAGCATGTGGCCAGCACCCTAACCACTGAGCTATGGGTGCTATTTATTTTGAGACAGAGTCTCACTTTGTCACCCCCTGTAGAGTGCATGGTGTCATAGGTCCCAGCAACCTCAGACTCTTGGGTTTAAGTTATCCTCTTACCTCAAACTCCCAAGTAGCTGAGACTACAGGTGCCCACCACAATGCTCTGCTATTTTTAGAGATAGTGTCTTGCTCTGGCTTGGGCTGGTCTTGAACCTGTGAGCTGAGACATTCCACCTACCTTGACCCCCTAGAGTGCTAGGATTACAGGAGTGAGTCACCATGCCTGGACCTTATTATTTCTTTTGTTGT